TTAATTTATCGAATTCGATTTCTCCGATGTTCGATTCACTTTTCTGTGAAAAGGGTCTTTGCTTTTTTCGCATTTCTAGGAAAAAAATTGTGTCTTTTGGTGATAATTTGAAGAACCCTAATGCAAAATTTCTTGTTGAAACTAAGAATGGATCTTTATGTTGCGTTGATCTGCCAAAATCTAATGATTAAGATCTCTGTTTCCTGACTCTGCAGTAATGGTGCAGAACTCGATGATTATACACAATTTGGTGTAAATTTGCCAGATTTTGGATCATACGAACCAGAAGAAATCTTCACCATTGATACACAATTCGGAGTTTTGCAGCAAGAACCAGAACAATTTGGAGGGAAAATTGATTGTGGTTTTGTGCAGGAAGAAGAAGAAGTTGAAGTAGAGGTCAATTCTGGATCATCTGGTGTAGGTGTTAAGCAAGAACATGACAATTTAGATGACGAATGTTCGCGAAAACGGTAAGCGAACTTTGTGTGTGATCTTGTTAGTTTGATTGTGTTTTGATAAGAATGTGTGATGGTTCATTGATTAGGGTAAGGTTTGGAACATGTATTAGACCAGGAGGAACCAAAGCCTGTCGTGAAAGATTGAGAAGGGAGAAGCTAAATGAGAGGCATGTTTAGAGCTTTAGTGTCTATGACTTGAATTTAGATGTTGTTTTTGTGAATTGAGTTGTCTCAAGAAGAGAAAATGGGTTGGTTTACAGGTTCATGGATTTGAGCTCGGTTTTGGAGCCTGGAAGGAGTCCGAAGACGGATAAACCGGCTATACTCGATGATGCAATCCGTGTCTTGAAACAACTTAGAGATGAAGCTCATGAGCTTGAAGAAACTAACCAAAAGCTTTTAGACGAGATCAAGAGTCTCAAGGTTGGTTCACTGTTCTCTTAAACCAAAACAAAACAAATCTTGTCTATGGGAATGAGAGCAGATTTTGATGTTTACGTCTCTTTATAGGCGGAGAAAAACGAGCTAAGGGAGGAAAAGCTGGTGTTGAAGGCGGATAAAGAGAAGACGGAGCAGCAGTTAAAGTCCATGGTGATTCCAACTTCAGGGTTCATGCCTCAGATTCCAGCTGCATTTAATCACAACAAAATGGCTGTTTACCCGAGTTACGGTTACATGCCAATGTGGCATTACTTGCCTCAATCGGTTCGTGATACGTCCCGAGATGAAGAACTCAGGCCTCCTGCTGCTTAAAACTCTCAATTGCTTTCTCTCTTTTTATTTGTGTGTGCAAGTGTAACCATAGGGAACTTAGAGAGATATGTAATCCACTTGGTTTAGGATTCTTCCGATTGGCAAGTGTAAAAGCTTTACTCTTGTTCTTGGGTTGTATTTTTATAAGTCCAAAAACTTTGTGTTTTGTTGTTTCTTGTAAATCTTTTAGAGGCTTTTGTGACTGTGTTCTGCTTCTTCTCTAATTTTCTGAGTTTCACCAAAAACACAAAATGGTTTCGTTGAGAGTCGAACTCAAGACCTCCCGCTTACTAAACGGGTGCTCTAACCAACTGTGCTACGAGAGCTGACTATTTTTGAGTTTTTCCTGATTATCAAAATAAAGTGAAAGAAAACATTTTGAATCATAAGTAAACACATAAGCGATAATGTGGATTAGAGACGAAACAAGGACTGCAAAACTAGAAAGACTCCAGCTTTTTGTTTAGTCGAAATCTGAAATTGAAATGGTGTCTCACTAGAGAACCAAAAGTGTCTACAAAATGTGTCATAAGCTCCATTAAAAAAAAAGAAAGCAAAATTATGTAGTTCTCGCCTCATTGGAAACACTTTTTAAAACCCGTCCTGAATTACAAAATGAAAACAAAATACAGACCGGGTTCGGCTTCAAACCCGAATAAGCCGATGAAAACATCTGTTTTTCTCAGTTTGTTTTTGCTTTTGGAGCCTTTTTCCGGAGTTGCCTACCGTGTCTCCTCGAGTTCTTCATTCCAATGAAGAAAAGCAGTGCCCCAAGAAGAGCTAGGCTCTGAAAGAGTCAAAACACAGAATAGAAGATCTTAGGTCTGGATCAAGATTGAATATGGAACTCAAATTTTAACCCGTAAAAATGCAACGCAAGAATAACCAACAAGAAACCAATATGAGATTCCTTTCTAACCTGTGTAAACTTTGAAAATAGTTGGCTAAATTCCTTTTTGTCAACATCGTAGTTGTAGAAATCATACAGAATCGGGGTTGCAATGGCTTGATGCAGAAGCTGAAACAAGTTTTGATAGAGTTTAAACATGTTTACCTTCATTCATTCAGATAAGCAAACGATATATTGTGAACAGAAACAGTCGCTACATACCAAGAGATAAGCTCCCAAGGAGCTGCCAATGACGAACAATAGTCCTCCAACACCCTTCAAGGCTATCGCACCAGCAACAAGAAGCTTCATCTGCAAACCAAACAGATTAAACAAAACTTAGAAACAACTCTTGGTCATTGTTTTTCAACAACGAATAGACATTGAAGAAGCTCGTACATCGACCGGTGGTATTTTCTGGCCAGTTTGACTTGTAACATGGTTAACAAAGGCATTGAATTTTGGTCTCAAAGATTTAGCTGCTCGACCTCCATCATCACCAAAATCATTGTACCTGTTCAAGGAACCAAGTACGGAAATTTACTTAGAGAGCAAATCAAATTTAACCAAGCAAGTATCAAAAGGTCAAGTCAATGAAGCAATAGCCATAAAGAAACTTCACTTGAATTCAAGAAAGATCAATTGAAAGAAAAAGGAAATAAATTTAGGGAAAAATAAGTGCAAAGATTAGAGAAAATCTAGCAATGTTCATATTTATTGAAGAATCAATCTATCAAATCCAACACAATCAAAACAAAGCAAGATCCTTTCACTGTTCTAACATTCTTTTTCCTTTTTTTTCTCAAAAACCCATCAAAGCTCACTCACTCAGCTATACCTAAATCCATGAATCCATCACAAAACTACATAGCCATAACTTTGTTCTGTTTCTACGACAGGAACAAAAAGCAGATCTAGAAGGAAATTGCTTACTCTTGCCATGCGGAGAGAAGAAAGACGGAAACGAAAAGAGCTCTACCAAGGAAGGAAGCAAACTCCATTGAAGCTTTCTCTTTCGAATCGAAGGTAC